TTTTTTTTTTTTTTATTAAAAGTTGTTTTTTGGAATGGTTATAAAAATTAAACGGCGTTTCGCCAATAAGTTCGATCAGGCCTCTTCCGTAGTATGTTTGGTGACCAAAAATGAATTCATTTTCTTTTTTATAAAACATATTTTTTTTTAATTATATTAAAAGCTTCGTGGCGTAACGGATAACGCATCGGACTTCTACACCTGAAATCCGGGGATTGCGGGTTCGAATCCCGTCGAGGTTAAATTCCTTTAAATAACTTTTTTGGTTTCAGTAATGTTATAAAAATATATATTAACATGGTAGAATTTACTAGAAAATTTCAAAACAATCCAGTTTTGTTTTTTAATAATTCTAAAAGAAACCTAGAAAATTTAAAAATACAATCTGATCAAAAAATTCTTTCTCTTTATGTTGGAAATATAAAAGAAAGTTTTACCGAAATTGGCTTATATTATCTTTTTTCTGAAATAGGACCCGTTGATTCGGTCAAACTTTGTAGAAACATGATTACGGGAAAACACATTGGTTTTGGTTATATAGATTTTAAAAATAAACAGGATGCAAAGAAAGTTATCGAAAACATTGATTTGAATTCGAATTTCAAAAACCTTTTTAAACCTATAAAAATTATGTGGAAAGATACCAACGATTCCTTGAGAGAATCGGGTTATTGTAATATTTTCGTAAAGAATCTTTCTTCGGGTTTTGATTTAAAGGATTTATTTAATTTGTTTATTTCTTTTGGCCAAATTTTATCCTCAAAAATAGCTTTGGATGATAATAGAAAATCTTTAGAATTTGGTTTTGTAAATTTTGAAAACCAATATTCAGCGGATCATGCCATTGAAAAAATTAATGGAAAAAAAATTAATGGAAAAAAAATTTTTGTTGGACCGTTCATAAAAAAGGAAAATTTTAATTTAATTATGCAAAAAAAAAAAAAAAAAAAATTTTCCAAAGGCAATCGAAAATTTACTAATATTTATATAAAAAATTTAAATAGCGAAAATTATACAGATAAATAC